GAGCATCTGCAGTCATAGCAGTTGGGAGACTGAGGCAGGAGGAGCAAGAGTGAGGCCAGTGTCTCAGAATAAAAACAGATGCACGTTGGCCCTATTAGTTCCACAAAAAAGGAGAAAGGAAAAAAGATGCAAGTGAAAGAGCAAATATGGCCAAAATGGTAAACATTTTTAAATTTGTAAAAATTTCAGCACTATCCCTAAAACTTTAAGTCCAAACCAAGCGTGCACCTACAATAAACAGCATGGACTTGCAAGGTGCTCAGCACTAAAGCCACAGGCCTTGGTCCTGTGTTGTGGCGCCAACACAGAGATGGATGCGGTGGAGACATGCATGTATGTAAAACATTCACACGAATATTAAAACACAAAATTAAATTTTCAGAAAGTGTGGGTTTAAATTCACAAACTAGCAGGAATCCTTTTACAACCTTTAACTTTATAATCCATGAAGAACCCACGCTTTAAGACTGATTTTGCAGACATTCTGAAATCGTGTCTCCTTTCTTTGGAAATCAATATGAAAACATTAATTGTCCTGCAGTAATCAATGTTACATTGTCCCAGGAGTTCTGGACCTCCTCTCCGTGCAATAAATCAAGTTGCAGTCTGCTAGCGGTCACAGCAGCAATTATCACTGCAGCACAACACCCCAACTCTGCCTGCCTTATTGTGATGCATGTCTAGGCACAAGCTTGTGTTCTTTACAGCCAAGAACTAAAACCCAAGTTTCCCCCCATAAGACATGGCTCAACTTTGATATATTCATATATGGTCTCGACAGAGCAAAAGCACGACTCCCGTACTTGATAAAGCATAGACATCACACTGGCCCACAAAAACCAAGTACAAAAACTGTGAGCTCATTCAAAGCTCAAGGGCAGCACAGATGTAGGGTAGGGTGAGAAGGATTTTCATTTGGGGTGGGTGGGTGGGTGGGTGGGTGGGTGGGTGTGGATAAACTGAGGGGAGGCACAGGGGAGTCTTTCGAGGTTTTTTACAGGTGATTACGTGGGTATAAACATTGGTCATACGTGGTGGCATATGCCTGTAACCCTCCCACTCTGGAAGCCAAAACAGGGCCTAGTGATGATTTCAGTCTCCATTTGCTGCCGACTTTCTCTTGGGCCGCAACCCAACTGGCTAAATTACCGCACATTCTGATAAACTTTAAAATGTGCTATTTGTGGTCCAGCCCAAATCCCTGGGATTTCTGGAGTGGTCCTTCTTTTGAGGTCAAATTTAGCTCCATTCCCAGTCACTTAGGACAAGTTTCTTCTTAAAGGCTCCATACATAGTACTGTCATGGAACAGGTCCCAAAGGGGCTTTAAGAACTACACAAGCAGAGTGTGGCGGAGCACGCCTTTAATCCCAGTCCTTGGGAGGCAGATGGACCTGAGTTTGAGGCCAGGCTGGTCTACACAGTGATAGTGAGTTCCAGGACAGCAAGAGTATGTAGAGTACCTGTCTCAAAAATAAATGGGTGTGGAGACATTACAAAGCCAGGGGTTGGTGTGGGAGGTCCTTCTGTCTATGTGTTGCTTCTATTGGTTAATGAATAAAGAACTGCTTTGAGCCTATGGCAGGGAAGAACAGAACTAGGCGGGGAAAGCCAGGCTGTATGCTGGGAGGAAGGGTGGAGTCAGAGATGTCATGGATCCCCTCCAGAGTCAGACATGCCCAATCTTTGCTGGTAAGCCACTGACACATGGTGATATACAGATTAATAGAAATGGGTTAAATTAATGTAAGAGTTGGTCAATAAGAAGCTAGAGTTAGTGGGCCAAGCAGTGATTTAAATAATACAATTTCTGTGTTGTTATTTTGGTTCTGGGCAGCTGGGACAAACAAGTAGCCTCTCCTCCTACAACGGCTTCAACTCTGCAGTGTGCACCCACTATGCATGGCCAACAGTTTCCTGGGAAAATTTTATGCAATGTTTTTTAGTATTACCAATTACATTTGTTCATCCACACCAGACTTTCTCCTATACTTGCAAAAGTTGACTCATTTTTTCTCAAACTGCACATCTGTATTCAATCAAGATAAGGGTTAAACCCTCTGCAGGCCCCAAATGCTGTTGCCTCCAGTGCACAGGCTTGGGTCCTCAGATGCTGTGTTGTTGGTCCTAACTATGGTGCATAGCTCAAAGGGCTGGAGAGATGGCTCAGAGGTTAAGAGCACTGACTGCTGTTCTGGAGATCCTGAGCCCAATTCCAGCAACCACATGATGGCTCAAACCCATTATAATGACATCTGGTGGCCAGAACACTATATACATAAATAAATTTCTAAGAAAGTCATTTACCTATAGAAATTACACTTATTAAAATTAACTCAAAAGGATGTGTTTAGCTCAGTCTAGTACTTTCTATATCTCTTATTTACTTAACGTGAGAAACAGCAGCCACTCAAGGGCTGGTAACTTTCTGAATGTCACCCTTAGCATTATCTGCCTAACAAAAACTCCATGTGCTGTGTTTTACTTAGAATCATATCAGCAACCAAACATTCACCCACTAACTCACGCTGTGTCCATGGTCATCCTTTTGAAAATACATATGCCCCGACTACAGAAGAAATGTATCTGAGATTCCAAGCTACCTCAAGTTTTCCTGGAAAATATAGCAACTTGCATGGTTTTCTACCCTTTAGAGGATCCACTCTTGCCCAAATCTAAATACTCAAACCTACAGCACCTAAGGCCACCGCCACCATAGCTTTGCCGGGGAACTACAAGGCATAGTCACAGTCACACCTGAAAGGTATCCAAGCAACCATGAGACCGGAGGCTGCTTGAGGGCAGGCAAGCTCTATCTGCAGCAGTGGAGCAAACACAAAGCAAAGAAAACCCAAGGAGTGACTGAACCAACCCAAGCTTACTCTAAGGTCTCCCTGACTGGTCATTTTCCTTTGTGCCCATCAGAGCTGGGCTCATTAAAGCTGTCCAAAGTTAAGGCCTGAGCCTGGGCCCTCATTTTACACTGTCTCACAGTATCCCACACATGGTTAACTTGAGCTGGAGAGAGGTCAGGCTGCATCCTGTGAACGTAGCACACTAACCTCACTTTATCTGTGCATGCCTGCATACACACGCTGAAATGGAGTCTAGCCACAAGTTCCCAAGCATCCCTTACAGTACCAGCCTGTGCCAGCTTCACCTAAGTGTCCCCAGCACAGCACCATGATATCAGCTGTCTCCTCTGCTGCCCAGCTCAACTTCTATTATGCAAATTTAAATTATAAACAAAGAACAAATAAATAAAACACCAGCCATCCAACATAACTGCCTGCCACTCTGTAGTTCCTTCCAGGTCACTGTCAACTGTGAATCAGCACAGAACTAGCCAACAGCACTGTTCCCATCCCTCTGAAGGGCATCATCACTTCCTTTCCACTCCTTGTAAAGAGGCTCATCTCCCGGCTGGAGAAGTGGCTTAGAGGTTAAGAGCACTCAGGGCCAGGTTTTGGTGACCAGTACTCCGGGTGGCTCACAACTGTCAGTTCTAAGGGATTAAGGCCCTCTAGGCTCCCTGGACACTGGGCACACAGATGGTACACATACATTAAACTAACTTTAGCTTTCATTTAAACAGGCAAATCTAAGGCAGGCAGTAGCAGTCAGAAGCTGGTATGAAGGCAGCCAGGGCCTGAGAAACTACTCTCAAAAAAGCAAACAGGCAGATCTGCACGCACACCTAACTTCTGTAGTACCAGAGCTCATCTATTCTCACTCCAGGAGAAATTCTGACCACCCGACAAGCTATCAGCCCATGCAAACCTTATCTTCCTTAAATTTTCAACTTCATACACCCTTTTCAACAGAACCTACTTCAAACGTTAAAACCTGAAACTTTCTGTACTAAAAATTCTCTGCCATCCCTAAACACTGCCAAAAACAAAAACAACCCAAAAACTAAGTTAGGTGACATTCTGTAATCAATCCCAAGCAAAATTAAAAATACATGGGATCCCAGCACTCTGAAAGCAGAGGTATCTCTGAGCTGAGGCCACCTAGTCTAGTTTCAGAACAGTCAGGACTACAACAGAGAAATCCTGTCACAAACAAAAGACCCAAACTCCCCCTTTCAAACTTATTGCCAACCAAATGTAGTCTAGGAAAGACAAAACCAAGCTAAAGAGCATTCTGGGCACAGAAGTCACACAATAGGTATTACAGGCTCACACATGGAATGAGATTTGCAGTGTGTCAAGTGTGGCTATCTGTGGTAGTGCACACCTACAATCCCAGCTCTCGGCTAAACTGCCATATTTGAAGCCAGCCTGATTCACACATCAATGGGCCAACCACAGAAGAGCCTGCCTGAAGTCTTTTAGAAAGTCTCAAAAACACAAAAAGCACCCATTGGTAGTATGAGATGAAGTTCAAAACAAAGATGTCTTTCAAATGTGCAAGTTGCTTGGGTACCAGCTTTGTATCAATGCCGTACACCAAGGCCTGTAAGCCACAGCTTCTGTATCTTACTTTGCAGGTGGTCTGGGTGACAAGACCTGACAGTGTCCTAAAGTTAGGTCACATTCTGTAAAACACCAAGTCTTTCAGAGATAGGTATAGTGCAGTGATAGTCATGGTGCCTCAAATACCTATTTTCTGTTTTCTCCAACACACTGAGCACTACCTGTCACCAATAAGGGTTTAAGCTAATTATTTTGTAGTTAAAAATCCTAGAGCGACACTTGTGTAAATGTTAAAACCAATCAACTATATATGCAACAGATTAATAATTAATAAGGGGAACTAATACACATCAGCATTGTCAAAGTGGTACACACCTACAAACCCAATCTTGGGAGGCGAAGGATGGCCTGATTTACACAGCAAGATCTTGTCTGAAACCAACACACACACACACAACAGAAACCGAGAACAGCTAGTATTTTAGACTTGGTAGCTGCTTCCAGCTCTCTACTTCTAAAAAGCAGCAAGCACCCACTACACACGCCAACTGACAAAACCAAAGGAAATGAAATCAGAACCATCCACTGTTTAAGGAATTTTTATTAAAGCAAGAATTTTATAATCCAAATTACGTTTCCTTGCTCAGTTATCAGTTCTGCTACTTAAAACAGAACTGACATCCCAAGCTATTCCACGGTAAAGAATTACAAAATTAAAGAAAGGAATGCTTTAAATTTTTGTACTTTGCTGAAAATTCTTTTCCCAGGGTCTATAAAACATTAATTTGTTTTTATATTTTACTATTTTTTTGTATTTTTTGTTGTTTTAAATCAAGTAATCTAGGACTAGCACTGTTTGCTAGACCTGGCATTTGCTCGGTACATAAGGTTCAAAGTTTCCTTTCCTTTTTTTATTTATTTTATATTTTGCAATGTTTTTTCATAATATTTAAATTTTTCGATGTTTAGATATTTTTTCTTCGGTGAAGCACGAGTTTCTTTTCGTGGTCCCTGATCAATCTGTAAATGTCAAAAAATAAAATAAAATAAGACCAATAGGAACACATAATTAAAGCCCTTGACTGAATCCAGCAAGTCAGTAAGCTGCCTGTCTGCTTTTATTGGCACATAGTCATACCCGCTCCTTAACATCCATGACACAACATGGCCCACAAGCCCAAGGCTCTACTAATTTTTAAAAAAAAGGGTCTGCCAAACTCTAATCTTAGCGCCCTGGTGGTGGGACAGAGGGAGGCCCAAAAAAACCAATGAAGCCACCATCCAAAAAAAAAGTATTAATTATGAAAGCCAACTTCTGTTACAGGGCCCTTTCATACAAACTACTTCACAAAAACAGTACTGACTTAAAGCACCGGTCAGTTAGTTATCAGTCAGGAGACCCCTCTGGCTCTGCTATGCATCTTCCCCTCTGAAAACCGAGTATCTGTAAAAGTCCATCTCTGCTATGGAGGAGGGATCACTCACTTAAACAGTTGGAACACCAGTGGCACTGTTCACTGCCTTCTGGGCAGCCTCTTTTGCTTGGTGGGCTTGTAGTACAGCTACAGCTTCATCAACCTAGAAAAGGGAAAACAACTGGCTCAAGAAAAAAAAAGTAATTGATAAATCCCCACCCAGACTTTCTGAATGAGCTCTAAGCAGCAGTGGTTACCTGCTGCAGAGACCCAAGAAAGCTCCCCAGCCCACCAGCAGTGTGAGCTTTGAGAAGACAGGCACTACAGTTATCGAAGGTGTATTATCACCATTTGCAAAGCTCCTAAAAACTCCATACACACCATGTAAATGTTCTGTAGAACAGATAAAACCAAGGAAAAGTCAATGAGACAAATGACAAAGCACCTTTGAGCGGAGAGACTCTGGAGACTCAAGCATATGAAGTAATTCTGAGTTATCAATCTCCAATAGCATGCCAGTGATTTTACCAGCAAGAGTAGGGTGCATGGCTTGAATAAGAGGAAACAGCCGTTCACCTAGAAAGAAATAATTCTATCAGAAAGTAGCAATGGCCATTATCAACCTGGCGTTTAGAACCTTACTAACACACTCCCGTCTGCACACAATCTGTCACAAGCGAATCACTTCTGAAATCAGCTCCTCCAATGTCAGCAGTTTCCTTGTTTTGTTCCAAAGCTGGAGTGTGGAATCGGTGTGAGCCTACCTACCAGCTCCCACCAGCTTCCAGTCTCAATCCCTTCACATCACTGCCCTACCTACACCATTGCTGACCCTTGTATTCTGCAGACTCTGAAAGGCCAAGGCAACAAAGTTACTTACCCAACATTTGCTTTTGCTCTTGAGGGGGGGCAGATGCCAACATGGAAGCAGTTAGAGGTTCTTGACCTTGCACATGAACAGCAGGCTGGATATAAAACAGGAACCTCTTAAGTCCCAAAGTAATGAAACAAAACCCAGCCATCCATCAACGTACAATCACAGGGGTCCGACTACTTAAATCCAGAGGGAAAGACTGGCTGAGTACTAAGTATCACATGACATATCTGTACCTTGAGATACAGTTACATTTTAAAAAATAAAGTCTTCTTTGGAATCATACAATCAAGTTTTGGTTCCATGACTAGGAAAAAGGTGCCGTCTAAACCATTTAACCAAACTTTCCTTCACATCTTCCTTATATCCATGTCAAACAGAACAGCACATTAATTCAGGGAGACTACTATGGCTGCATTCTAGTCCTAAAACCTCTTCACATATAACTAACTAGTAAGATGGTCCAGATAGCTTAAGCTCTCATAGATCACGCAGCTGATCACCTCTGAGTTTAGCTAAGTACCACGACTCACAAACAAATGATAAAACCGCACCTGTTGCATGGTAACTTGTGGCTGTGCATTAAGATGTTGCTGGGGATTGCGGACTCCGGCAGCGTATTTATACTGGGGAACGGTGCGGACAGCAGGAGTGGCTGCAGCAGCAGCAGCCGCAGGACGTGGACCCATGGTCTGTGTTGAAGTGTTAGCTAAAGAAAAAGAAATATCTTAGAGCACTGGACCATTTCAAACTGGAGATCAATTTTTTTTTAACAGAAAGACTCACCAACACGCTGTGTTGACATGACTCGTGGAACCTGTGAGGAAGCTGGTCTCATAGTACTAAACGGTGGTCTAGGAGCAGCTGGGCGGATAGCACCGGGCATGTTCTGGAATGCTGCATTTAAAGGTAGGTAACACACATGAACCGAGAACCTTACCAGGTCAAATTTAATGCTTCCCTAGGGCTGATGTTTGTATAAAAAGCTGGTATATATTGGGTTTCAAACTTATTAAATCGCACAATGCCAAGAGATATGCAATAGGATGAAAAAGAGAGAAACACCAAGGATTCCTGCAATCCAGGAGTCATGTTGTGACATGAAAAAAGACCAGTGTCACAACCCTAAAGCCCCCGTAAGTCAGTCTGAGCTTTGAAGCCAGTCACCAAGGCAAACAAAGATTTTGAATAAATCCCCAAATTTATCTAGGGAAATCAAACCTACCCATTGAAGATCACCCAAGCATAAATTATCAAACTTGCCTCATACACATTATATTGAAACCACAGTCTAACAGAAGGTAGGTTGTGTAGTATCTCTGAGCTACACCCCACCTTCCAATCCCTGTCATAACTGAAAGAGGCTTACGATGAGGTCTGGCACCCTGAGCAGTCCAGCGAGGACTTGGTCTTAGTTGAGCAATTTGGCTAGGAGGATAGTATGCAGCACGGTTCTGAGTCTGTGGGAAGAAAGCAAGCACATCAGCTCTAGTGGGGCGGACCCTCCACAAAACAGGTATTACTATAAATGGATAATACTCCCCATCGCTTTCCATTTCCCCCATCCTAGAAACTTAGTGCTTTATCATCAAAGCACACACAACACCTCAGCACAAGCTTCTTTCCTCCTCACTTACCTGTGGGATAGCTGCCATGAAGTAACCTGAAGGAGGTGCTGGCTGGTAGGGGTTCATCACAGGGTTGGGCACAGCTCTCACACTTGCCATTCTCTGCATATACTGGTTAGTGAGGTGAGCCTGGCGCTCTTCTTTGCGCTGAGCTAAAGCTACATACAGTGGCTTCGTGGCCACAATTCTGCCATTCATTTCCGTAACTGCTTTAGTGGCTTCTTCAGGGGAAGAGAAACATACAAAACCAAACCCTTTGCTGCGACCACCCTCCATCATAACCTATAAAGAAAAAATAAAGAAAAGTGAAAGGTTAGTGCAATGGCTAATAAACCAGAGCTCTCATTTACAGTGAGTCACTGAACCAAGTAATCCTGTTAGTGCCAGAACCAACTTGCATCATCCGAGTTCTTCTTACAATCAATACTTAGGACACGCGTGCATTACTGCAGGCAAATAGAGCTGGAAGAGGGAGCTATACAACAGCAACTTTCCAAGGCACAGATGTGTCATTACAAACTTATCTGAGATAACTGAGAAATAAAATGTCCAAGTTCTTAAATCTTCACCCAAAACAGAAACACTAAGCAGAGGAACACAGACACCAGTTAAAAGGAACAACCAAAAGACAAGACTACATCTCACTCTATGGACCAATCTGTTAGACCAGGAGATGTCCAGACTGTCTCCATCTGAAAACTTCACCACCAGAATTCCAGTCCAGCGAAAGAAACACCTGGACTGCAACTAGCTCACTATGACCAGAAACAAAGGACCTTTGCCATCGTATTTATCCTTGAGCTGCTTGGCAAATATTAAATATTAATTGAACAAACCTGTTGTCAGCAATTAGTAACATAGTTACTTAAGAGCACACATTAAATAAGGAGCAACCTGCTAGCTTAAAATATTCGAGGCCTCCCTTATCTTTTATAAATAAATAATATCGCACACACTCCTCTTATACCTTTGCACTAGTGATTGTACCAAACGGAGAGAACTCTTTCCGGAGACGCTCATCATCAATACCATCATCCAGGTTTTTCACATAAAGGTTAACACCCTGAAAAGACAGACAAACTTAAGACAGGTAGGAAGCCCTCTGTGGTATCCAAGTACACCTATTACATTAGCCCGTGTTCCTTCTCTTCCCTCTCAAACTCTCAGTTCCGTGGCAGTAACCGAAATGAATGCAGAATAGGTTCCTCATCCCTATCTTAGTTTGCTGATCCAAGTGAAAACGGACCTGGTATCTGGTGATCCTATCTTGTTTCATCTGTTCAAATTTGCGCTTAAGTTCCGTCTGCCGCTCCACTTTTTTCTGAGCTCGACCAACATAAATCTGTTTTCCATTGAGCTCCTTTCCGTTCATCTCATCCACAGCCTTACAGAAACCAAACAAAAACCTCAGTTACTTGTAAAGGTACAGGCACTAGCAAGGAAAATTATTCATTGTAACATTAAAGAGAACCCCACCCCCCATGCTCAAATCTCCAGGTTTGAGGACAGGATGCACTCCAAATTCTCTTAACACAAATAATAAAACACAAATATTTGATTACAACATGTAAAGCTCGCATTAAATGTTGGCATAAACTCACACACAGGTAAAAACTTTTAAAACTTACTTTCTGTGCATCTTCATGCCTCTCAAAGCTGACAAATCCAAACCCTTTGGATTTTCCACTTTCATCAGTCATCACTTTCACACTTAAGGCAGGCCCTAAAAAAGTTTGCGGAGAATCAAAACTAGTCCATAGTTAAGTACACATTTCACTTTTTTTTTCTGAGAGGGTTTCTCTGCATAGGAACCCTGGCTGTCCTGGAACTCACTTTAAGGTTGCCCTTGAAATCAGAGATCTGCCTGCCTCTGCCGGGATTAAAGGCATGTGCCACCCCGCGCCTACCGCCACATTTCAGAGCAAACTCCAGACCTCTCAAGCTCAAAGACTTCACAGATCTTTTGTATAAATATTTTATACATGCCTGAAGGTTCTTACACTGAGATGTCTTACAAACTCAAAGTTTTTCTTAGTTCAGTAAGTAGAGAAGCCCTTTAGGTAACTAATTTGATTTTTCTTGCTCAGAACTAAGAATAAACTTGAAAAGCCTTCTTGGGTCATCTGCTTTTGAACAGCAGAGGGAATACCAGCTCTGCAGGCAGAGACAACTGAATTACCCCAGGTAATTTCTAAGGACAAGCTTCCGAAGTGGAAGAGACAACCGCGGGTTGACACCAGGTGAAGCGGTGCCTACTCTGTAAGAACGGGAAGTGGTGGTCTCAATGAGAACAGTCCCCACAGGCTCACACACTTGGATAGAATTGTTGAATAGGATCAGGAGGTGTGAGCTGCTAGGGGTGGGTTGAGGTTTCACAAGGCCCACACCATTCCAATTAACTCTCTAATTGCCTTGTGGCTGTTAGCATCTCGGCTGCTGCTCCAGATCCTGCCTGCCTACCACCATTGATGGTCACGGACTCATCCATTTATTGCAAGCCCAATAAACTTGTGTCTCAACACAGCAATAGAAATGTAACTAGACAGTGGTCAACTCAGGATGTGGGAAAGGTGGTATAACTAAAAACAACCAGGTCAAACTCAGCACTTGGGAGGCAGAAGGTGGTAGATCTAAGTTCAAAGCCAACCTGGTCTACATAGTGACCCTCAAGAAAAAAAAAAGAAAAAAGGGTTTTTACTTTAAAACATAGATGCAACATAGGTAAGACATGTAAAGAGAAACTTCTAGAAAACTTGAATAAGGTCCACACCTTAACTGTTATTTACCTCCTCATCCCACATCTTTGTAGAAATTCTCTTTGCTCAAAGAGGATTCAGCCAGGTGTGGTGCATGCTTTACGCCTTTAGCCCCAGATCTTAGAGGAAGGTGGGGCTTTTGTAAGCTGCTGACCAACAACTAGAACAGAGACTCTGTCCTTAATACTCCAATCCTAAGTGAGGCTGGATTTTGCACTTCCTTGAGCTTAAATCAATTTATTTTGAAATTTGAGGCAGGATTTCCTGTAACCCAGCAGACAGTACAACCTTCAAGTAGGCATGCACACTCATGCCTAGCTGAATTTACTTTGAAAAGATCTTCCAAGGAGTTATGATGGAAGAATCTGGATTGTTGAAAACATTCTTTGAAACTGTTCAAATGTTACCGACACTAACCGTTATAAGCTAAAAGGAGCGAGCCTTTTCCGTTCTGTAACTAGAGTACGCTTTACTCAGGACAGTCTCACCCATGCTGCCCTACAACTCTAAGTAAGAACTCTTGTGTTCAAAGTATCCCAATGAAGCAAAATGTTTTAAAAAGATCTACTCAGCTGGCCATACTTAGACCCAATGTTTTTACTAAACTCTAAGCTTCGCAGCATTCTCCAGTCAAGCATCAGCCATTAAACATCAGGCAATTCCTTTAAGTATAAAGATGTAACTTGGACACATTACCAAACTTGCCAAAGAGATCCTTAAGACGCTCGTCATCCATGTCCTCCCCAAAGTTCTTGATGTAAACGTTGGTGAACTCCTTTGCCCTCGCTCCAAGTTCTGCTTCTCGTTCCTTCCGTGACTTAAATCGTCCAACAAACCTGAGAAAATGTCAGCACTTTAACACCAGGCTGTTTCATAAAGCTTAGATTAAGGCCAATGGTTTATAAAGTGCACCACAAAATAAAAATGTCCTCACTGAAAACAGGGACTTCAACAATGTCTCTGCAATATAAATCGAATTTTCCTTCCGATACACACTGATCCAGTTAACCCAGGTTAAAGGGGTGACACCTGTGAGCGAAATTGTTCAGTGCCGACCAAACATAATGCCTTTAACATAAATGCCTTTGTTACTGGTGTTTGAGTGGTTCTCTAATTGTGCCATTTCCTTAACAAATTTTCAATTGTCTCTACTAATACAACAGTCTGGCCTCACTGTATAATTAACCAAAAATATAATAAATACCATGCCAGCTTCTATAACCCCACACAAATCAAAAATGACTTCAAGGAAAACACAATTTGCTCTTATCCTCAAAAGCACGGGCCTTTCCCATGTAGTCTGAAGAACCTCAGTGGGAGAATTATTTTATCGTAGACACAACTTCCTGCTTCCCCAAGTAGTGCTTCAAATATTTCTTAGAAACAAATTATTTAACAAAAAAAAATTTAAAAAAAAAAATCAAACTGCTCCCCAGAATGGTGCCTCAATATGCACTTGAACCAGCAACAATAGTCTTCTCCTGGCTCCTGCTAATGGAGACATTCCTTTAATTTTTATTCTAGCACTGCTATCAAGTTTTCCACTGTGATTAACAGTGGAGTAACTCCTGGGGCCACAAGTGTCTTGGATTTCACAATCTGTAGGCTTTACTGATTAACACCTCTATCTTAAAGTCTAATCTGCACAATCTCATTTGCCATGCTGATGCTTTAGATGCTGGATGGCAGAGAACACCTGGGCTTCAGATTTCTACATTTAGGATCAGGCGGGGGTGTAGGTGACACCTTTGGCCTCAGTACTTGGGAGCCAGAGTGGGAAGAGTGAGTCCAGGACAACCAGGGCTCCAGAGAGCCTGTCCTAGGACTGCTTCTCTTCTGTTTTTGAAACAGGGTTTCTCTAACCTCAAGTTGGTCTTTAACCCTTTATGCTACAAGACCAGGCTCATCTAGTCCCAGTATCCACATGAAAGTGACGTCAAATCAAGCTGCAGATTACTGCAGTGTCTGCACATCCAGAACTCCCCTCTCAGATCACTTACATAGAATAGCCAAATTCTCACAGATCAAGAAGTCTATTGGCAACAATCAGCCTTTCATATTAGTTTTCAGTGTTATTCCTTAAAGTTTGTTAACTCCTTAATTTTATTTCAGGGAAGATTAATCACAAAACCCAACGCCAAGAACGAGCTGACTTCAGAGCACTGGTATGTACAGTTTACTGTCTAAGGGCACCTACAATTTAGTTGACTTTGGCTAGTTTCCCCAAATATGAAACTGGCCAATGAATTAGTTCCGTAGCAAAGTTGCATGGATTCCCAGCTCAACAATGCACTGATTTTATCAAGTTTTATAGCTCTAGTCACATGGTTCAATTTAGGTTTGAATGTTGAGTGACATTACTGAACGGCATGAAACCTAGCAAATGTGGTTTAGTGCTTTTGCTACATCATGTTCTTTGGTATTGAGACATTCTCATGGAGCCTACCTGGGCAGGCCTTAAACTTGTGGCTCCTTCTGCTTCTGTTTCCACCTCTCAAGTGATGAAATTACAGGAACATGCTATGTCAGCTGTCTGTGCAGCTTAGGCTGCCCTGCAGGCTCTACAGTTACGGTTACATCTGCCTCTACCTTCCAAATGCTGGGATTAAAGGTGTGTCACTATGTCCAGCTCCAGCTAGTTTTATCTTAAGTGTAAAAACCTATTACTTTTCAAGCCACTGGCAGGACTATTAAAAACAGACTTATCATGTACACTAAAAGCTATACATACTTACACTTTACGGTCATTTAGAAGCATCCCATTCATTTTCTCAATAGCTCTTTCAGCTGCTTCCTGTGTTTCAAAATGCACAAATCCATAGCCTTTGGAGCCATTTTCATCACAGACCACCTAGGGATAGAAGACATGCTCAGTTTTACTACTTGCTATTGCTTTTCTAAGGTGCAGAGATGGTAGCCGCCTAACGTGGCTATCATGGAAATTAACAGCCATCACAGATGCTCTCAAAAAGTAGCTCAACATTGCAAATATTGATCTGTCACATCTTTGCTTACCTTACATGAAAGGATGTTACCAAATGCAGAAAACGTATCATACAATGCTTTATTGTCAATGGATTTGTCCAAATTTTTAATGAATATGTTGCCTACTCCACTTTTGCGAAGTGATGGATCACGCTGAGACCACATGATGCGTACTGGCTTGCCCTTTATAACATCAAAATTCATGGTGTCCAAAGCACGTTCCGCTGCGAGAAAGACATTTTCCAAGTAAATATCACCAACCTTTGATTATTCACTGTATTTCTGGACAGCTATGCTTCACATCAAAAAACTCAATCTATCCCACAATTAATTTTGAGGTTCATAAAGACTGAATTATGTATACTTGTGCAGAATTTCTAAAGTGAATCTTTTTTTTTTTTTGGCTAGGGCCTCTCCATGTAGCCCTGACTAGCCTGGATCAAGAGATCCACCCACACTGCTTCTGTCATCGGAATCAAAAGTATATTACCACTACACCTGTCTTAAATGGAAAATACTTCCTTACCTTAAGCAAAAAGACCAGTTCTTAAAGAGGGTACAGTTCACTTGAATCCATAAAGCAAATTCCAAATTTCTCACTAATAACTGTAAAGCTATTGACTGGACAAGTTTTCGTCCCCCCCTTTTTTGGAGACAAAGTCTCACTGTGTAGCTCTGGCTTTTGATGTAGCCCAGGCTGGCCATAAACTCTAAAGACAAACCCAGGTGCTGGGATTAAGTGAAGGAACCACCATGCCCATTTGCTGTAAATGAAAGTTTCAGTTCGTAGAATATAATGATAATCAGTAGCCGCTCACTATCAACTGGCCACACCTCCTCAGCTTCCCTGGTCCTGCTGACTTTGCTTGAGCCTTGACAGTTTTTTAACGAGTCACCTCTCCCTACTAAACTTAGTATTGCTCACTTACAGAAGCCCTATCGATTGGTGCAATACATAAGAAAATACTGTAAAAAAGAGAAAAGCTGGTTTAAAAGACCCAATTATCTGTAAAGGTGGAATATTGAACATACAGACACAAAATAAAAGGAGGAACCCAAGAGGCAAGATTCTGAGCAGCTGTAAGATTGGCCTACGGGCACAAGCATATACAGTAAACTATAATCACGGCAACTTGATGTTTAACTTTTCAAACCCCAGGACATTTAAAAACTGGATATTCTGTATTTAAAAAAAGAGTCACTAAGTTTTAGGTCTTTCAAGTTGCATAGTCAGGTTCTCGGTTACTACCTTCCCTTATGTCACATCCTGTGACAAATCCTGCCCAGGGCTGAGCTGTAATGAAGTGACACTCAACCCCTTACAAAGCCAAAGGGCAGGACAATCTGCAGTGCAGGTTGACAACTGGCTCTGAGTCATTCAACACGTTGCCTACCTAAAACTCAGCACCAGTTTTAACCAAATGAAAAACTGGTCATCAGTCACTAACTAATGAACTAACCGAATGAACTTAAGCTGACTTTTTCCTAAGATTTAACCTAACTGCTTGCTCATAGGCCATAAGCCTTATCTGATTCTTATTGTTTCAGTGAACAATCAAATTTCACAAAAATATCAAGTCAATCAAGATTCATGGATATATCCTGGAATACTTAAAAAAACACAACGAAACTATCATCACTCGGATGGCATTAATTCAGTATTAAGTCCATGTTCTAACATTTACGACCCAAACTAATCAGACTACATTTTTAAAAAATATTCATAACCATGGGTGTTGTTAGTGAAATACTTCGAGATGTATGCATTAACTGACCACGTCTATTAAACTAAGACTTAACTAATTTGGTTGAAATAAGCTAAGGTGTCTGGAGTCCTAGAGAGCTGTCTACATCCCCCCTCCTCCACTTCGCGGTTAGACAGAAACCTACTTCATCTAGGGAAAACCCCAGGCAAGTGCACATGGCATAAGGTGCCTTTCCCGGTCCACCGGTCAGGGATGCGCAATTGGGAATGGACTCGGGACCCTAAGGACGCCCCCCAATCAGACACCACCCTAATAACTTTCTTCTGAAGCCTTGAGCTCCCCCCAGCGATTGGGCCAGCGGCAGGAACAGGCCTCGGGCCTGGTGAGGTTACAGGGTTCAACACGTGGTATCCTCCCCAACCCCGAGTCGCACTTCCTCCGCAGCCAGTGCCGGGCCAGGGTAGGGGGGGGATGGCCGGCCGGGCGCCCCCACCCAGCGCGCCAGGAGGGGGTCTCGAAGTCCCCGGACCTCGCGGCTCGTGGCGGGCGCGCGGCGGAGGCGATCTCAACCCACCCTCCTCCCGGCGCGGCGCGTCATCGCCCTAAAGTTTGCGAGCGACCGAGGACAAGAAAATGGTCGCGGAGGAGGAAGTGCCGGCCCGC